GTGTGTGTGTGTGTGTGTGTGTGTGTGTGTGTGTGTGTGTGTGTGTGTGTGTGTGATAGAGTCTTGGACTCCTGCCTCTCCTGCCTCTACTACATTGCTGTGTCTAGCTCCCAGATTTTGTGATTATAAGCATGCACCACCTCTCCTGTTTGTTTTTAATGTAGTGCTAGGGAGTCAAACCCAGGGCACTGTGAATGCTGTGCAAGCATGCCACCAACTGAGTGGCATCCCCACCCCCATGCTCTTTTGTGTTGACATGTTCTGTCCTGAATGTATATATGGTTTGTTTATTTGTTTTTTGTGTGTATGTATAGTGTGTTTGTTTTTTCAGGAAAGGCTCCTGTATTTAAGAAATGCATAGTTCTATAGCCAGGATGTCTTTGTGTCTATGTGTATAATTGAGGAAACTACATGTATATGTGACTTCTGTATTTATGTGTGTTCTATGTGTGCACCATGTGTGTCTGGCATTTATTTGTTCTGTGTATCTATACATTCTGCCCTATATAACCTGTAGAGGGGCATTTTTGAGACACAGGGTACCAAAGTAGTCCATAACTCACTATTTTCCTGCCTTCTGTGTGATGGGATTACAGGTATGTGCTGCCACAGCCTGCTTATATGGTGCTGGGGGTTGAGAGCAGCACTTCATACATGTTATACAAGCATGCTACCAACTGTGCTATATCCCCAGCACAATAGAAGGATCTTGTTTTTCTGCTTGTGTAAGTCTGTGATTCTCCTGAGATTTTAGTGTGTGTGTGTCCTTGTGAATTCCCAGAACAAGGCTGCAGCCTCCTGTAGGGCCCTCTTGGAATCTCTTTTTCTGTGCCCTGATCTAATAAGGAAGATGCTTTTTTTCTCTGAGAAATGTAGGATCTTGATTTGATTATTGATCTTGCTTTCTTTGTCTTCTTTTTATCCACCTTCCCTTCTTCTGTATCTCCATCCCTTCTCCCTGGCCCATGCTCTTGCCTTTCCTATCTGTTCCCAATCCTACTCCCTCAGTCCTGGTTGCAGAGCTTATCAAGTTTTACTTCCCGAAGATGGTGGAGATGCACAATTATGTCCCTGCTAACTCTCTCCAGCAGAAGCTCAGCAACTGGGGTCACCTGAACAGGTAGTAGAATCCCTGGGTGCAGAAGTAAACTCTGCAGCCCCTGCCTGCTTCCCAAGAGGGATTGTTCCAGCCTCAACTTTCTATGACCTTGCCTGGAGATGTGTTTTTTACTAGCACGCATGCACGCACACGCATGAGCGTGCTTGCATGTACACACACACATGCCTCGGTTGGTCCCTAGCAATGCAAAAAAACTGGGGTCTTGACAGGCAGACTGAGACTGCGGGGGGAGCGGGAGACACAGAATCCACTTAGTAATAAAATCAAATATTTATTTTATTGGAATGGAGACACTCAAGGGAAATTGGAACAGTCAAGCAAGGAGGTTCAGGAGTCTGCCCTTCCAGTCCCCTGGGGCTATGTCCACTCCTTTCCTATTGCACTCCATTCATTTCCCTAGAACCCACTCACCCTTTTTGTATCCACTCCGTAGAAAGGTGCTGAACAAGCTGAACTTCTCCGTCCCCGATGATGTGATGCGGAAGATTGCGCAGTGTTCTCCGGGTGTAGTGGAGCTGGTGCTCATTCCACTAAGGCAGCGCCTGGAGGAGCGGCAGAGGCGCCAGAAACTGGGTGCTGGCTCCTTACAGGTGGTGCTGCTTGAGCCTGCTGATGGAGGTGCAAAGGGTGCTCCCCAGACAGTGGACTAGGCAATGGTGATGCCTAGGTGTTAAATAGGAAGATGGTGTCTAGCTAAGAGAACCTGGCCCACAGGATTGTGGAAGGGAAATGGGGCTTCTTGGAGGTAGATGAGACCAGGTTCACAGGAGACTACATCTGTTCTTTCAGGAGCTGGCTTCTCAGGATGTCAGTGGCTACATGGATATGGGTAAGGTGGCTTTCCTTTATCTTAGGAAAGCTTTTCCCCATCGATTTTAGAATCAGGGGGAGACAGGAGAATGATACTCCAACAAGGTCACTCCTTCACTTGCTTTGTCTTAGGTCTGTCCCAGAAGACTCTAGGAGACGGTGCTCCAGCCCTAGGAGGAGAGCAGCTCAGGTAAACTTGAGAGTTCTGACCTCACCGGGCTTGATACCTTCACCACAAAGACTAGTGTGGCAGTGCCTTGGTCATTGGGGAGGTGGTGAGAAGGCGACAAAGGAAGGCCTGATAGCAAGTACTTGAAAGGAATGGCGGGGTCTGAGATCCAAGCCTCTGCTAAGCTGCTATCCACTGCAGAGGGGGCCGGCAGCCGGCGCCTCGACCCCCTGGATATAACCAGGCGCTTCAGGGCGATCCGAGCTTCGTCCTTCAGATCGCCGAAAAGGAGCAGGAGCTGCTGGCCTCTCAAGAGACAGTGCAGGTGAGGAGGGGACACTAAGGCCTAAGAAGCAGCTTGAGGCAAAACGCTGGCAGAGCAACAGGTCTTCAGGCTTGCCTCTCTGCGCCCCCACCCAGGTCCTGCAGATGAAGGTGAAGCGTCTGGAACACCTGCTCCAACTCAAGAACGTGCGCATCGATGACCTCTCCCGGAGGCTCCAGCAGGCCGAGCGCAAGCAGCGGTGAGCAGTGCCCGGGCTGCGCGGGTCTTCCCAGTACCCGCTGGAGCCCCATCGCAGCGACCTACCCACTCACCTGCGGACGCAGGATTGGGAGGGCGGAGCGAGCTGCTCACTGGCGCCCCCTGCAGCAGCGGCGCTCGGACGCGGAGGGTTTGGGCGAACTTGGGGGTGTTCAAAGCCGAGACCTGGGATTGATCCTCCTCCTTACACTCCATCCGGGCCAGGAGAAAAGACCACTTTCCACAGCCCAGAAAACCTGTGCGGACACACGGCATGACCTCCCAAACCGTGTCCACTTTGAGGCTCCCAGCGCTGGGCCTGGAGAGGCGGTCCTCTGGTTCCTTTCTCAGCTCAGAGGACAGTCCTGTCTCCAACCATTCTAATTCTCCTTGGCCTCGTACACGGGAGCAGCTACCCCCGGAAGTGGAGGGATTCTCTTGCCCCTCCTGGGTGCTTACATGGGACCCATCTCAGGGCTGGAGACCACTGCAGCTGGAGAGGAAAGGATAAGGTGTTGAAGAAACCAGGAGTAAGAGGCATCCAGCTGTGTGCAATAGCCTTTTCCGCACGGAACAATACAAGGAGTGCCTGGGGAAGACAGAACAGAGTCGTCTCTATTAAAAGTGGTGTTGTGCGTTCTTTCCTGTGCCTGCATTTTCTTTCTGTCTGTATGGGTCCGAAAGGCAGCGAGTTCCTGCCTTGTCCTTTATCGCTTTCACCTAGCTGTCCTCCTAAAGACCCCGTGGACCCAGGATGGGTCTCATGTCTTATTAGATAGATGATACTGCCAGTGGACAGAGTTTGGGAAGTGTGACAGCCTGCTTCTAGCACTGGGTGACCCCCATCGCCTCCTTCCAGTGTCCTACAAACTTGTCCAAACCCAAGTTGCAAATTTTCACCAAGGTGGCCACTCATGTTCCCAACCTTGCCCATGGATTCTCTTTAACTAGCTTTCTGTATGACTCTCAACCCTGTCCATACACTGATCTCAATTCTATGGACGGAGGCTACTTATCACTTGAAACCCTGACCATGGCATGACCTTCACTCTAATGACTCTAATCACTCTAATGCTGAAGGTTTGTAAATCCCGAGGTCTGGCAATTCCATTCCCAGGCATGCATTCAACATATTGCATGGGAGAAATATGTGACCTATGTTCTGGGAAACACACCACAACAATCATACAGAACGGAAACGATGGGCTGGGGATGGGCTCAGCTGTTGAGAGCATTTGTTGTTCTTGCAGAGGAGCCAGGTTCCATTCCCAGCACCCATGTGGCAAGCCACATCTCTTCATCACTCCAGTTCCAGGGCCTCCAACACCCTCTTCGGACCTCCACGGGCACATGTACACAGACCACCCCCTGAGCTTAAAATAAATCTAAAAAGAAAAAAGAATTAAAAGGAACTTGTATTGGTGATCTATGACTGTGTAACAAATTACTAGGCTTGAGTCAACACATGATTTGTCTTGTTTGTTTGTTTGCTTTTGAGGGTCCAATCTTAGCATGGCACAGCTGGATCTTGAGCTTCCAGGATGCTTACAAGGCTAAGGCTGAGGTGTCAGCTAGAAGTGTGACCTCATCCTCAGGCTTAAGCTCAACTAGGGAAGGAGGCACACTCTGCTAACAGATCAGTCCCTTGTGGGTTGTTGGGCTTCAGTGCTGATGATTGTTGCCTTGTGACTGCTCTAATTTCCTTGACCATTTCCAGTATAGTGGCTTACTTTAAAAATTTGCATTTTACATATATGTAAGTGTGCATATGCATGCCACAGAGTGTGTGTGAGTGTGTGTGTGTGCATGTTGCGTAGGTCAGAGAACCCGAGACCACGAAGTGGAAAGAAAAAAACTGTCTTTCCCAAGTTGTTCTCTGACCTACACACACATCAAAACTTGGGCTGTGGCAAATGCCCTTATTCCCTGAGCCATCTCACTGGCCCCAATAGCTTATTTTACTAAAGCCAGCAAATAAGACAGTAAAGAGTGGGTTAGCAAATCACTCACGGTAGTGCACGCCTTTAGTCCCAGAACTTGGGAAGCAGAGGCAGTCCGATCTCTGTGAGGTCAAGGCCAGTTCAGGCTATGTTTTGAGATCCTGTCTCAACTAATTAATTAAAAAATAATTAAAGGACTCAAGCTAAGGTTCAGGGGTTAATAGGACCAGAACTCACAACTGCCTGTTTCAGGGGACCAGATACCCCTGACTTCTGAGGGCATCTGCACATATGTGCGTACTCACACACATAGAAATATCTTTAAAAGAGTAGGTAGCAAGATGGAAATTACAATCATCTCTTGTGATCATAGACGTGACATTCCAACCCATCTGCTGTTTTCTGCTCATGAGATACACATTGTTGGGTTCAGTCCACATTCAGGGAGTGGTTGTTCACTGGCACCAACATCAGGAGGAACTGTTGGAGCTATTTTTCCTTTTGTGATCCTCCTGCCTCTGCCTCTTTCAGCAAATCCTACCGGCATGCACCACCACAACCATCTATTTTTCCTTTAGTGGTAATGAAAGAAGAAAATCAAGGACAGTAGTGGTTTCCGTTGAGAAGACTGAAGAGAGAGGAAAGAAATCGAGTTGGTTTATCAAATTTGTAATTTGTAAGTGTCATTCTGGGGGCAGGCGGCGGAACTATGCATGTGAATTATTTATGGAACCAATGGCTAAATAATATTAAGAATGCGTTGGGGGGTGCTGGAAAGATGGCATAGTGGTTAAGAGCACTGTTGCTCTTCCAGAGGACCTGGGTTCAATTCCCAGCATCCACATGGCAGCTCACAACTGTCTGTAACTCAAGTTCTAGAGGATTCAACATGCTCACACAGACATACATGCAGGTCAAACACAATGCACATAAAATAAAAATAAATAAGTGATTTTTAAAAGAATGTGGTGGGGACTGTATCTCAGTTGGTAGAATGTTTATCTAGCACACACAAAGCCCTGTGTACAATCTGTAGTACCACATAAACAAGGCGTGGTTGCCAGTACCTGTAATTTCAGTACTTGGGAGACAGAGACAAGAGGACTGAAAATTCAATATTATCCTTTGCCACATAGTAAATCCATAGCCAGCCTGGGCTACATGAGTCCCTGTTTCCAAAGGCGGGGGGGAAATGTTGGGAGTTAGGAATTGTCTTTGAGGAGACATCAGGGCCAAGGCAACTTTCAAAAGAAACCTTTAATTGGGGTTTTGTAGGGTTTTGTTTTTTTTTTTTTTTTGAGACAGTCTTTCTCTGTGTTGCTTTGGAACCTGTCCTGGAACTAGCTCTTGTAGACCAGGCTGGCCTCAAACTTACAGAGATCTGCCTCCTGAGTGCTGGGATTAAAGGCATGTGAGCATAATTAATAAGAACTCAGAAACAGAAATTGGGGTTCAACCTGAAGGTCAGAAATGCAAAACACCCAGCCACTGGCTCTTACCTCTCTGTCTCAGTCCAAAATGGCGATCCTGCAATGAGACTGTGTGAGAGCTATCTTCTTCCATTTTATATTCCTCTCTAGTGTACCTTTAATCTAGGGATTAAAGGTGTGTACCACTGCTACCTGGTTTCTATGGCAAATTAGCGTGGCTACTGGGATTAAAGGTGTGTGTCACCCACTTCCTGGTCTGTAAAACTGACCAGTGTGGCTGTTTTACTCTCTGAACTCCAGGCAAGCTTTAGTTATTAAAATACAAATGAAATATCACTATAGGGCTTCCTTACAGTTTCAGAGGGCGAGTCCATGGCCATCATGGCGGGGATCTTGGTACCTGGAAGGCAAGGTGCTGTAGCTGTAGCTAAGAGCTCATGTAATCTGCAAACTGCAGGAAGACAGGGAGCAAGACTGGCCTTGGCAATGACTTTTGAAACCTCAAAGTCCACCTCTATGACAGGCCACACCTCCTCCAACAAGGCCACACCCACTCCAGCAAGGCCGCACCCACTCCAGCAAGGTCACACCTCCTAATCTTTCACCCACAGTCCCATTAACTAGGAATCAAACAAAAATTTAACAGCAAATTAAAATAATCAGGCTGGTGAGAGGGCTCATCAGGTAAAGGCACCTGAGTTCAATCCCCAGGACCCTCATGGTAGAAGGGTGAACTTCCCTTCTACCTGCAGGTTGTCCTCCCTCTGAATTGATGAATTCTGATTTCCTCCGGTTTATTCATTCCGCAATTCCCCAAATGTTTAAAGATGAGTAAAGAACAGACTGGCAATCCTGTAGAAGAGAAAGCATGTAAATGGCATCTAAAAACTGCTACTTAATGTTTTGAGTAGATTAAACATGCCCAAGATTTTAAAAAACACACGCAAATAAAAATAAAAATGAAAAATGCGAAGTCTGCTTGGATTTAAAACTAAAAAGGATGCTAAACATCCTTCCAGAATGTTCTTCTCTTTTTGAGATGGGGTCTCTCTGAGTCGTCTGCAACTCAAAATTCTGTGCATTGACCTTCTGAGTGCTGGGATTATAGGTAAGCACCAAGCACACCTATAATCCCAGCAGTAGGTGGGATTGCAGCAAGACTCGCTCTGTAGACCAGGCTGGCCTTGAACTCACAGAGATCTGCCTACGTCTGCCTCTCGAGTGCTGGGATTAAAGGTGTGCGCTCCCTCTGCCCGGCTATATTTCTTCTTTACACACAGGGAAGTGTGTTGCATTCTGTGTTCTGCACCTCTTGTAGATCTGTGGGGATTAAGTTTATGAACGAATTTAACTGGGCCACAGGGCATCCAGTTATTTAATCAGCCTTGTTCTAAGTGCTCTGTGAGAGCGTTCTGGGACATTACTGGAATGAAGCAGATTGCCCTGTCTTCTGTAGGTAGGCTGGCCTCATCCAATCAGTTGAAGGACTTGAGTAGAACACAAAGGCTGATCGTCCCTTAGATCTGAGAGAATTCCTACAGCCCGGTGGCTTTTGCACTGGCACTTCAGCCCCACCCATCTTTCTCTTCAGACTCAGAAACACTGCTCTTGCTGAGTCTTGAGCCCAAGTCTAATGGCCTTTGTACCAGAACTACCCCATCAGCTCGCCTCATTTTCAAGCTTCAGAACCTACACAGGATCTGAACGAATCATTTACCCTCCTGTACCTCTCTATCAAGTCACCCTGTAACCAGAGGGCTCACCAGTTACCGTAATCGTTTGAGCCAACTCCTTATACCAAAGGAATCACTCAGGCCCTTCCTTTCAGTTCTGCTTTTGTGCTGACTTCAAACAGTTCCGCTCTTCTGGAATCTTCTACAAGATTCTTCCATGTTGCTCTGTTGAAAAATCTCTTTTAGCTACATAAAATTCTACTGTTGAATCCATCCTACATTTGGATACTGATTTCCTATCTTTATTAATAATAGTAATGCAATAAGGACAGCATACCTGATAACGGTATTGTGTAAGGGGTTACCTGGGTGATAAATTTTGCAATTGGGTTGCTAGGTTAAAGAGTGTTATATGCTGGGTGTGGTGGCACATGCCTGTAACCCTGGCACTCTGGAGACTGAGGCACAATGACTGCCACAAATTTGAGGCCAGCCTGGTCTATATAGCAAGCCCCAAGCCAGCTATAGACTGTGCCTCTAACAAAATAAATAATTGTTTCTGTGGTGATGATACTATGACATTGTTCCCTAAAAGGCCAGGGCTGGCTCATAGACGAGGGAAACATTGGTAACCTGTGACCTTCCTTTGTTCTCTTGTACTGTGCAGTGTTTTCAAGAAATAAACTGCCATTTTTTTCCATTGATGAGAATATGAAGCCACTGGCTCTTTTACCATGCTAACTGGAGTTTCATTTCATATAACAGTTTGGGGATTTCCTACAAACAGATGGCTATATTTTATGTTAGGGTCCCATCAGAAAAACAGAAGAAATTTGTTTTCACTTTTTATATTTTATTTCTTTGCACCCCAAACCCCTCCTGAAACAAATCTATTTGCTTGTTTATTTATTTTGAGACAGGGTTTTACTATTTAGCTCTGGCTAGCCTGGAACTCATGCCTCATCCTCCCAAGTAGTGGGGATTATAGGTCAAATGGTACCTGTCCCCAGTAAAGTCCATGCTTTTGTATCTATGCTGGGGTTTCAAGCCCACAGATTAGGAATTGGGAAGGCAAGAGGGACATAAAGTGGGGCACAGTGGAATTCATGAGCGAAAGCTCTTGAACAAAGTAGAACTCATGCCAGCTCTCATTTTCCTCAGTCTTCTGGAGGGTGAACTGCAGAAGCAGCAGGCCCACTTCGTCATCTGACCCAGGAGTCAGAGACTTGAAGAAAGAAAAAGAAACACAGAGTCCTCGTCAGCACAGCTGCTGCTCCATGTCAGCGAGGTAAGTCAGCAGATCAACAGGGTGTGTGGGTGACAAATCCCTTCCTTGGAGCCTGCAAATGTCAAATTCTCTATTGATGCTGTTTTTCTTCCAGTCTTCAAGCCTCATGCAAAAGTGGCTCCTGTGGCCCCGCCCTTATTGGAAACACATGTGAAAGGGAACTTGACAAATTCATGCTAGCTGAGTAGCACTTTACAAAGCTCTACACGCTGTATACCAGCAAATCCTAGATATACACTCAAGAGAAATACATACATCTACTCACCAAAAGAAGCAAACTAAAACACAAGAGCATACATTATTTTTGTGTGTGTCTGGTATCTTTTGCTCAAAATTGTCTTACAGAATCATCCATATTGTTGCATGTATTCAGCATGTTCTTTGTCACTGATATGATTGTATCAATACGGTGTAATTAGTTTATTTTAAATATATATTCGAATCATTTCCATTTGGGCACATCACAAATGCTGCCATATATATATATATATTGGTAGCATCTATCAAACATTTATTTTTATTTATTTGTATATGTGTGTGTATGAGCTTGTCTGCATGTACACCACATTTTGTACAGAATTCATGAATACCAGAAGATGGCATCACATCTGGAACTGGAATTACAGACAGTTGTGGCTGTAGGTACTGGGAACCAAATCCCAGTTGGGCTTGTTTCTTTGTTTTCTGAGACAGAATTTCTCTATGAAACAGCCCTGAATGTTCTTTGTAGACCAGGCTGGCCTCACACTCAGAGAGATCCACCTGTCTCTGTTTCCCCAGTGCTGGGATTAAAGGCATGCACCACCACACTCTACCTGGCTCAAATCCTGGTTGTACGAGCGGCAAATGCTCATAACTACTGAGCCATCTCTCTAGCCCTCAAGTATCTATCAACTGTTAGATATTTTCAGGAGATTGATTATAGTTTAATTTTTTAATCAATAAAGTTCAGAGTACGCTGGAGCAAAAGTGGAATTTTCCATGTACCCTGTATGTTTTCCTAACCTGGAGTTGTTTTTTCCTCCTCATATACTGCCCCCAACTCCATAGAGCCTGGTGTTCTAGCTTTGGGTAAGGCCCTGGACACGGGAATTTTATAGGTTGGGGCATTTCTGATATTGGCATACCTTCTTCTTGGTGCACAGGCCCACTGAGAAGCAATGAAGCTGTCATATAACTTCTAACTCGGTGTTCTCGTGGCATCCAAAGTCTTACTTCCAGAACCATCAGCGGCCTTTTCTGGAAGCATGCAGCATGCCCTAGTACGGGCAGGCAGCTCCATCTCACAGGTTTTCCCAGGCAGCCAAGCCGCTCAGAGCCTGGAACTGCGGGAAGTGTGTCAAGAGCAGGAAACCATAGTTCTTTCTGTGTGGTGTTCCCACAGCAAGCTGTGGTGCCTTGCCCTAGGCGCAGAGGAACACAGTAACTTGTTCATCTAACAAATCCAGGAAATACATTAAAAAGAGTTGGAAATTAGAAAATGGTTCCAGACAGTGAACGGTAGCAACTTGTCTGTGTTTCTCACCAAGAGATGAAATTCAAGTAAAAGGTAGGTAGCAGGAAGAGGAAGGAAATCACGAAACTGAAAGCCAACACAAACCTAAGCAGTAAATCCGAGAAATAGGGATCAGAGGAAACTATGGTAAACTGATGTCTTCCTGAGAGGCAGAAACCACTACCTCAATCTGGAATGTGAATGTGAGTATATATTGTTAGATCTGGTATTTCAAAAGAAGATTGGAAATCAGAATCCTTTGTGAAGAAGTAGGACGAGGGGCAAACAGATGGGAGGAACAGTTATGAAAGCCTCTGAAGGTTATAAATCTGCAGGCTACTTTTGCCTGGCGTGGTGGCCCGCCAGACTACTTTGGACACATTGCTGACTTGATAAAGAGCAGATAGGGAACACATGAGAGGGCTCATGGGAAGGTGGCAGTGGAGGTTGAGTAGGCTGGAATTAGAATGAAAAGTTCTCAATGTCCGCGCTGGAGGACAGAATTCTCTCAACAGTAGGGAGCGCACGTACCACCCAAAACACTGATAAAAGTTTGAGAAGCACTGCTGGAGACAGCAGGGAAGCCCTGGGCCCTCTGAAACTAGGCAAGGACTCTATGAGAACAATAGGAGTCAGGGTGAGGGACATAAAAGAGACAGGGAGAGCCGCCGGGACCCTACGGACTGGACTCTTCAAAGGCAGGGATTACAGTCTTTCGGAAAATCTGGCAAGCTCTCATTGGTCCAAGACCTATCTCAACTAGTTAAATTGGAAGAAAGCAGGAATTCCTGCTCCTTCGGCACTTTTAAGTCACCTGTCCTCGTCATTGTATCTAAGGGCAGAGACATTTACGCACCGACAGGTGGGCCTGTGGCAAAAATCCAAAACCCTTTGCTGTGTCTCTTACCAACTTGCTCTATGTAGACGCCCACACCCTGCAGGGTGGGTCGAGGCGCATCCCGCTGCCATAGCGACCGCCTCCTTGGAGACCGAGAGCAGAAGCTCCTGTCCCCGGGGGCGCCCGCATAGGCTCCCTCCCCCACTCCCACGCCGCATGCCTTCTTTGTTCTCTT